GAGGTGACTACGGAACTCAACTATGCTAGAGATGTCGATAGAATCCCAATACTCTTAGAGATGGTAATAGACGTGTTCTGGAATTGCAGAGCCACAGCAAAAGGGGTTTCTTTGTACCTTTTAAGGTTCATCATCAGCCCACTGCAGTCCACTGCTGGACATAAGCCTCTCCCAAGGCACGCCACTGGGCACGATCTTCAGCCCTTCTCATCCAGTTACTACCCGCAACCCTACGTAAGTCGTCGCTCCACCTAGCTGCGGGGCGTCCTACACTACGTTTGCCAATTCGCGGTCTCCACTCTAGAACACACCTACTCCAGCGAGCATCGGTTCTGCGACAGATATGACCAGCCCACTGCCACTTCAACTTACATATGCGAAGAGCTATGTCGGTGACCTTAGTTCTCTGGCGAATCACTTCGTTTCGGATTTTATCCCTCAGAGAAACTCCAAGCATAGCTCTTTCCATAGCTCGTTGAGCGACTTTGAGTTGGTGGACCAGTCGTATCGTCAGTGTCCACGTTTCGGCACCGTAAGTCATAACGGGTAGGACGCACTGGTTATAAACCTTGGTCTTAAGGCTTTGTGGTAGCGACGACGAGAAGACTTGACGAAGTTTCCCAAATGCCGCCCAGCCTAGCTGTATTCGTCTCTTGGCCTCCCTCTCAAAGTTGTTTTTACCTAGTTGGAGCGTTTGCCCTAGATAAATATACTCCTGAACAACTTCGAGAGATACTCCATTAATGGCGACCGGTTCCGGACGAATGCGATCATTGAACATGATCTTGGTTTTGTCCAAATTCATCCGAAGACCGATGCGTTGAGACGATTCAGCCAGGCCGTTCAGCATCTGTTGTAAATCCTGCAGCGATTCAGCCATGATGACAATGTCGTCAGCAAATCGTAAGTGAGAGATGTTCTCGCCGTTGACATTAATGCCGTAATTTTTCCAATCCAGCATTCTAAACATATCCTCCAACGCAGTTGTAAATAATTTAGGGGATATAACATCCCCTTGTCTTACACCACGCTTTAGGTGGATATGCTTAAGGTTAATTCACTAAAACCTATTTCATGGTAATCAAAATTTTTCTAAAATAATGCAGTATTTTCAAAAACATGATTTTTAGATTATAATAGTTTCGATAATAAATATACAGAGTTGTGTAGTAGATATATTTATAATAATGGAATATTAACATGATATTATGTAATGATTAGTAATTAATGGTTTAATTACAAATAGAAGTAATGCTATTGATATCGACCGAGTTAGTTTCATAATTTTTATTAAAATAGTGAAGGTACAAAACTGATCTGTAAACGATATTTAGAGATAATTATTCATTCTTGTCTTGGCCACAGTTCTGTTAAGACGTGCCAATAAAGTATTACGAATATAAAATACGTTTTCATTTCTGGTAACAGCCAAAAAAAGCTAATTTAGCTATTATGATATTAAGGCTTATCCATGTAAAAAGTTTATCTTATATATAAAATTCTCGTGTCACAGTTTTCGTTTCCATACTCCTCCGAAACGGCTTGACCGATTCTCATGAAATTTTGTGAGCGTATTGAGTAGGTCTGAGAATCGGCCAACATCTATTTTTAATCCCCCTAAATGTTAAGGGTAGTCCACCCCTAAATTTTTTTTTATTTTAAGGCAAAACAACGTTTGCCGGGACAGCTAATCTTATATATATAAAATTCTCGTGTCACAGTTTTCGTTCCCATACTCCTCCGAAATGGATTGACCGATACTCATGAAATTTTGTGAGTGTATTGAGTAGGTCTGAGAATCGGCCAACATCTATTTTTCATCCCTCTAAATGTTAGGGGTAGTCCACCCATAATTTTTTTTATTTTAAGGCAAAACAACGTTTGCCGGGACAGCTAATCTTATATATATATAAAATTCTCGTATCAGTTTTCGTTCCCATACTCCTCCGAAACGGCTTGACCGATTCTCATGAAATTTTGTGAGCGTATTTAGTAGGTCTGAGAATCGGCCAACATCTATTTTTTCATCCCTCTAAATGTTAGGGGTAGTCCACACCTAAATTTTTTTTTATTTTAAGCCAAAACAACGTTTGCCGGGACAGCTAGTTTATTATAAATATTTACATTTTAACAAAACAAGATTGTAATCCTTATCGAAATAAGTACGTTATTTATTGTAGGTATTATTTTTTAACAAAATTGTCGTTTACATCATTTCAACGAATACTTTAGAAGAACAAATGAAGAACCTCAAATATTTGCCTCGTGCGAAGCCGGGGCAGATTGCTAGTAGAAGTATCTTCTATATTAACTAAATATAATCTTATACTTGTCGATTTGTATGAACATGTAACGACATGTCTAAACCGCCAATTCATGAACCGACATTGGAAGGGGTCCAAAAGATATGAACTCAAGGGCGTCCTCCCCCTCCTAAATCACATGAACCCGTGACCCGCGATGGTAAACTTTGCCAGCGCTTGCTGAAACTAATTCACTTATTGTTCCCAGTTTTATGACTGGTTTGAAACCTAGTTTTCCGCTCGATAACATATTTATGATAAGGAACCTTTCACAATGAGGACCATAGACAGAGAAATAGAAATAATCTTTATACAAATAAACTTAATATAAGCACTTTTGAATAGTCAAGTTTTTTTTATTCTACCGCTTATTCGGAATGCAGATTCATCACAAGAAGAATAAGAAAGAAACTTGTGTGTTGCTCTTTTAAATAAATATTGATTTACTTATATTTAATTAACAACAAGGATTAGGCATGCGACAATCAACATAGAAACCGCCACGCACTTAATCTCTGTTCAATCAGATAACATTGTCATAACAGAGTTACTGATCATTCATTCATTTATAATATATATATATATATATATTGACGACCTCGGTGGTCTAGTGGTCTAGCACACCGCTTTACGACCGATGGTCGCGGGTTTGATTCCTCGCACGGCACAAACATTTGTATTCATGAGTATGATTGTTTGTATCGGTCTGGGTGTTTTCTATGTATAATATGTATGTATTTACAAAAACAAAAATATCTATGTTTTTGTATCAGTTATCTAGTACCCATAACACAAGCTTTAGCTAGCTTAACTTGGGTCTAGATGGCGCTGTGTGAATTGTCCTGAGGTTATTATTATTATTATTATAATTTAAGAGCTGTGCTCTTGTCGGTGGAGCTCCCGCCACCTTCCATGATCTTCTATCAGTCTTTTTAGCTGTTGATACGACAGACTCGACTTTTTCTTTAATTTGCTTGATATACCCGTGTCTCGGCCTTCCTCTTTTTCTCATTACATTACAGTTCAGTTACAGATTACAGTTCATTCTTTAATAATGCTCTGATCACTACGACTGGCTCACTCTTATCAGGGATGTTATGGATAGGAAATTTCGGATACGAATAGGTTTCGGATATAGAAATGATTATTATACCGGATACGGATACGGATGCGGATATGAAATTTCGGATGATCCGTTAGTTTCGGATAATTTTTTTAAGGAATTTCAAAAATACAAATAGCTAATAAAATGTTTTATTTATATGTCAACATTTGGTAGGAATTACAATCAGTCTCAATTAGGCTTCGCCTCTATCCGGTTTTGTCTGAAACTTTTATTTCGTATTCGGTTACGAAAATTTTTTTATATCGGATAGTTTCGATTTCTCCCCAACATCCCTGACTCATATATAGTTCTCAACCACTTGCTTATATATTTACTATTTTCTCTACTAGATTATTTAATTGAATTAGTGCTTGTTGGTAGTATGTATTCACACATTTAAAATTAAAAATGTAAAGTAAAACTCAAACGGTGAAACATGTACCTAACACTGTCGGGAAAGCATATAAAAATGTATGGGACATATCCTTATATTAGTGTAATGGGCATATTTTATGGATATTTTCCCAACGTGTCCACTGAAAGTTCTGGAATTGTCATGAGATCGTTTGATGGATTCTAATAATCTAGTCCATAAAAGTTATATACTTAAAACAAAGTTACGTTCAAGTCGTGTAATTTTATGTCGCAGTGTTTGTAAGAATACTCCTCCGAAACGGTTTGACCTATTCTTGGTGTGTATATTCAACTAGCTTTTGCCCGTGGCTTCGCTCGCGTTAATTTATCTTATTAGCCGTGGAATTTATCAAAATCCTTTCTTAGGGGATGCCTACGTCATAGTAGCTTTATGTATGCAAAGTCTCATCCCGATCGGTTTAAAATTGACAAAGTTTCATCCCCAATTTTATGCCTTTGGGGGTAGAATTAATCAAAATCCTTTCTTAGCAGATGCCTACGTCATAACATCTACTTGCATGCCATTTCAGACCGATCCGTCCAGTGGTTTGGGCTGTGCGTTGATAGATCACTACCTATGAGTTATATATATTTAGATAGATCTGAAAATTATTATCTGAACTATTATTTATACGTCTATAGCGACTAGGATGGTTCAACAAAAGGTTTTTATGAATCTGCATTACATAGTACATATAACCCTAAATTTATATTCTTCTAACATTAAATTATTTAATAGTGATATTAGTAATTTTATTTTTTACTCTCGCCACTCATATTCTTGTTGTTTAATACATAAACATCATACAAAACGGATTGTAATATGTATATATATATATTAATACATACTTTTGTCGTGGCATAATGCTGAGATGGGCCCCTTTCACACATCAGTACACAGTGACTCGGTGACGATGCTCCGCAGTGGTGGATGATGGGAAATGCATTTTACTTTATTATTATTATTATTTATTTGTTTGTTTGTTACTCTGTTGTTATTTTTTTTCAGTATATATAATGATTTCATTTCTAGTTTAATGCATTGTTTTTAGGTACTTACGTTTATATTATATAATAATTTATAGGCAGCTATCAGCTAAATGTTTTTTTATTATAGTCTAATTTCGACCATTAGCCGATCACTAGTTTCAATAAACATTTATTAATTTTTGTTTTAGTGTGTGCACGTCGCAGTATCTCTATCAAGAAAGCGAGCATTACACAAGAAAATGTTTGTGAAAGCGCCATCTACCGATGCTGAAGCGGAACTGCACTTGTGTTACCGAGGGAGGTGTTAGTTACCAACATGGCGGAAAAAGTCAGCTGATTGGAGAGTCGCGCGCGCAGGCCTCAGAGCAAGCGGCGGATCAAGCGCATCATGGTAAATATCGGGGATCTTAGGGAGGTCCGTAACCGTATCGGATATCCGATATAAATAAGTATTCGTAACCGTAACCGAATCCGAAATAAAAGTGTCGGATAATATCGGATAGGGACGGAGCCTAATTGAGACACTTATTTAACCATTCTATTAGCTATTTGTATTTAATTTTGAAAATCCTTAAAAAATACTATCCGTAACCGAAATTATCCGAAACTAACGGATAATACGAATAAATTTCATATCCGCATCCGTATCCGGTATAATAATCATTCCTATATCCGATACATATCCGTATCCGACATATTACATCCATAACATCCCTGGTAAATATGTACTTGGTAAACATATATAAAAACAAATAAGCTAATTCAAAAATCATTAACTCATCTAGGACATTTTAGCCGCTTATGAACGTAAAATTTTTTATATTATAATTTTTTCCTTACCGTCCAGTTCAGTATATAGATCCAATGATTACCTCATCAGTGGTATCAGTCACATGAATAGCATCACGGATATCACGTCATCATTGTTAAGTAATGTTAAAAGTATCCGAATTAATCTTCGCAATCATTTTTTTTATTTCTTTAATGCTGTTGAGTACCACTGGCCATTACAGCTTCACCGGACGATAGGAGACGAGTGCAGATGGCACTCCAAACCGGTAGGAAGACTTATGGAGCGGCTGAAGGCCAACTCCCGTGTATTGGATACTTTAGTCTGAGGGCACCGCTAGGGGTACCTAGGGGTACCGGGTATTTCGATGTCCGTTTGAATTGGACGGGGGATCGATCGGGGGCGCTATTGTGGAGCGTCCGGGCGCGCGTAGACTTTCAGCTGATTGCGCAGTATTATGTGCTTAAGGTCGTTGTATTCACCGGCGAGGACGGTGTCGTGTGTGAGAAAATGAGACAATAGAAAAAATAATAATAATTAACGGCAATTCTGAACATTAAAAGAAGCTATACGCAAATTTATTTTTCGTTGTTTGTGAGGCTGCATTCCAAATGAGTGGCAGAATAAAAAAAACCTGGCTATTCAAAAGTGCTTATATTGTGTTTATTTGAACAAAGATTATTTTTATTTCTATCTGTACTATATTTCACTTCAGCAGGTGTTCGGTGAGTGGGCTCAGGTGGAAGTCGTGGAGCTGGTGAACGATGGCTCCGGACTTGCCTTCGGGATCGTGGGCGGCCGCTCCTCAGGGGTGGTCGTCAAGAGCGTGCTGCCGGGCGGAGTCGCCGACAGGGTGAGTGCAATACCTTCATTATACAATAATTGACGACCTCGGTGGTATAGCGGTTAGCACACCGCTTTACGACCGAATCGCGGGTTCGATTCCTCGCACAGCACAAACATTTGTATTCATGAGTATGATTGTTTCTATCGGTCTGGGTGTTTTCTATGTATAATATGTATGTATTTACAAAAAAAAAATATCTATGTATATGTATCAGTTATCTAGTACCCATAACACAAGCTTTAGCTAGCTTAACTATCTGTAGCTTAACATGAGATGGCCCTGTGTGAATTGTCCTAAAAAAAAATACACTAATAATCTTACTATATTACTAATATTATAAATAACTAATAATTAAAAGGAAGAGAAAAGTAACTAAGGACACCAATAGGGTTGACTGCTAGCTGACTCTAGTAGTCTCGGCTCTACACGTACGACGGCCCAGATAATAGGGTGATTGCAAAAAAATAGCGATCTACTGTATGAAGAGTCGTGACTCATTAAGAGAGAAATTCAAAGAGGCAAATATTCTCACCGTTGCTTCTCAATTTATATATTCAAATATCCTATATGTCATAAAAATCTTGACTTATTTCCAAAACACAGCAATATTCATAATATTAATACTAGATTTAAAGATAAACTTGCTGTCCCCAAGTATCGTTTAGAAAAAGTCAATAGGTCTTTTATGGGAATAGGTACAAAATTTTACAATAAGATACCAAAGGATATATTGGAGTTACCCTTAAATAAATTCAAAACATCTGTTAAATCATATTTACTGTGCTCAGTAAATATGATTTAACAGATGTTTTGCAAGGCCTATTACTCACTAAACGATTACTTGAATGACGAGCGTGCATGGCAATAGTTTTCATGTTCGGGATTTTCATTTAATGTTAGACATAGACACCTATATAAATACCTATGCATTGTAAATAAACTGGATTTAAAAAAAAAGTAATTCAATTGAGTTTCTTGCCAGTTCTTCTCAATAGAATAGAATAGAATAGAAAATCATTTATTCAAATAAACTCAATTTAAGCACTTTTGAATAGTCAAATTTTTTTTAAATCTACCGCTTATTCGGAAAGCTGTCTCATCACAAGAAGAATAAGCAAGAAACTTGTGTGTTGCTCGTTTAAACAATCCTTGTAAGTTCACATTTTACAAGTCGAAACGTGTGAATTAGAGTTCATTCCCGGGAATTCTCGGTTCGAGAATTCCCGGGAAATTCATGGGTTTTGTTCCCGGGAAATCAAGCTCGAGAAAAGTCGAGAACTCGAGAAATCATGTACCTAAATAGATATTAAATTGCCCTTTGTTTTGTTGCGTGGCGGCGCAATAATTTAAGATATTAACGTTTTTGTTTTCTTTCATGTTATTTTTTTATTTTGTAGAAACTATTTTTGTTTACATTGTTTTTTTTTTATCTAAATAAGCAGACAAAAATGGTGCTATCATTATAAATATTAGTCTGAATAATTAGGTCCTAAAAAATTGAAATTGGCGTTTTGTAAGGGAATAAAAGTAAAGTATTTTTTTTTTCAAAATATATCAAAGTAAATAATATATAAAATATATTTATTTAATCAAAGTATGTACCATTTCTATTTATGCACTTTTGCCTTTTGTTTTTGCACTTTGGACTGTCCCATCGGAGTGTAATTTTTTCCCTTGCAAGAAGTTATCCAAATTTCGAAAAAAAAATGGTAATCTGTTGATGCAAGGTCCGGGAAGTACGGTGGTTGTCTTAGACATTCCAATTGAAGCTCTTTTAATTTGGTAACTGTCTGTTGTGCAATATGTGGTTAAGCGTTCTTGGCGATTGACCAGCCTCGGTTGTTTAGCAGCTAGCTTTTCCATCATGGTTTCTCAATTGCTGACAATACACATTTGCCGTAATCGTCTGGCCAGATTTAAGAAAGCCGAAGTGAACAACACCGGAAATAGTCCAACAAACGTTGACAAGTAACATTTTTTGAGCCATATTTCGCTTGGGGCAGGATTTGGTTGGTTCGTCGAAATTTCCAGAACGAAAACGTTGGAACCAAAAATGCACGTGTTTTCTTTCGCGAGACCACTGCCATACACATCATTAATACTTCGAGCCGTTTAGCACCGTGTAGCACTGGTGCCACGGCGGAACTCGTACTCGTAAATAACGCGATATTTTAAGTTTTTTCATTTTGTATGCTGTGAGTGACCCAAAGTGATTAGCTGTATAAATTTGGAAATGGAATTCCTAACCAAAGAGGAGATATTTGAGATCAAAGCGACCAGTACGACAAAACGCCAATTTCATATGTAAGGATCTAATATTATTACTCTATTTAAAAAAAAAAATATTCATACGTAATATTAATGTTTTTAAATATACTCAATAAAAGTTTAATTTGATACTTTTATTTGAGAGGAAAACCACTGAATTTTTTGACGTTATTGGAACCAAATAATATGAGAAAACGTACATAAATGTAAATTTCTCGACAACCCGAGAAGACCCGAGAAATTGACCTCGAGAATTCTCGAGACCCGAGAAATTGAAAAGCTCGAGAAATCATGAACCCTAGTGTGAATACAAACTACCAACCAGCACTAATTTATTTAGGCTCAAATATAAAAACACAATAAGATTAAATCAGTCGTAGTGATAAGAGCAGACCAGTCCCTACAAGCGGCACTCGTTCACGAGTATGACGGATGAGCCAGCCATCACTGCGCTCGACCATATTTTAGAGAGCCCAATGACCGGGCCCACCACACCGCCACATGTCTGGACATTTTAGTGAGCATGACTACTCATTCCACTCTACCACGTCACAGCTACAAAAACTACTATATGGTAGTTACAGTATTCGCACTTTACATTAGGATGCATGCGGCAATCAATACAAAAGCCGGTATTCAATATAACTAGCTAACTCTATTGGATCTATATACCGAACTGGACGGTAGCGAAAAAAAATTATAATGTAAAAACTTGACCTTCATAAGCGGCTAAAATGTCCTACATGAATAAATGATTTTTGAATTTGAATTGTCCAACTTACATTACATTACGTGACATTATAGTCTGCGTTTATTTCGAGTGTGTGTCAAAGTGGAAATGTAAATTTTAATTTAATTACACACAGCGGTGTCCTATTAACGTATGATGGGTGTCATGGTGCAGATGACAGAATTAATTATACTGCCCTATTTACAATATACTGAAGCCAATCGATTGTCAGCTGTCGCTGTAGGAGTTCAAATTCAAATTCAAAAATCATTTATTCATGTAGGACATTTTAGCCGCTTATGAACGCCATTTTTTTTATCATTAATATAATATTAATAATATAATCATCTCAGGACATTATTTAAATTATTAACCGGGTCTTAACACGAATAATTTTATGGCAAATAAAGGTATTTACCTCTCTTGACGTTTCGACTAGGTTGCACTAGCCGTGGTCACCAGCTGACTGGAGTAACAGCTGTCAATGTAGATAGGTGACAGCAGTTTCTTCATCTACCGTCACTAGATTGTTTAACGAAAGTTCGCGACACACAGCACTCACCGTGAGTGCTGTGTGTCGCAACCTAGTCGAAACGTCGAGAGAGGTAAATACCTTTATTTGCCATAAAATTATTCGTGTTGAGACCCGGTTAATAATTTAAATAATGTATATTAAACACGAAAGTTTAAAATTAACCATCTCAGGACAATTCACACAGCGCCATCTAGACCCAAGTTAAGCTAGCTAAAGCTTGTGTTATGGGTACTAGATAACTGATACATATACATAGATATTTTGTTATTATAAATACACACATATTATACATAGAAAACATCCAGTCCCATACAAACAATCATACTCAAAAATACGAATGTTTGCAACGTGCGAGGAATCGAACCCACATCGATCATCGGAAGTGATCTGCTAAACCGCTAGACCAGCGAGGCCGTCTATACCGTATTATTAAATAAAAATAACGCAACACTTCATTATTTATTTTTTATTTGTTATTAGTGTTTCCATTAACAGAGAGTTAGAGTAAGAAGTAATTTATAGCTGCATAAAAAATTACGCGCGAACGCGATATCTCATCATTTATTCATGTAGGTCATTATAGCCGCTTATGAACATCAAATTTTTTATATTATAATTTCCTTCCTACCATCCAGTTCACCATATAGATCCAATTGAGAAGAACTGGCAAGAAACTCAATAGATTTTTTTTAACTGCCAGTTTATTTCCAATGTATATTTATGTAGGTCTCATATGTTATTGCAGGCTGGTACACCATTCCATTATCATCCATTAAAAAAACCGAGTACCATTCTTCTGTTCTTGCTTCATTCGAATTAATGTCTTACATAATTTGATTATCTTTCAGATTTAGTAACCTGTAAAAAAATAGATTAATATGAAGGTATCACAAATACGTTAACTATAAAATGTTATAGCACTTGAGATAGATAAGATGGCGGAAATCCGGATAGATGTAGATCGGAAATTGCGGTTGTGATCCAGTTATATACGTTAGTAATTTGCCTGGATAAGTTCTAATTAGAAGTTAACTTAGGTATAATTTTTGCAATCTTAATCTATACATATCATCTCAGCCCGGAAGACGTCCACTGTCCACTGCTGAACAAAGGGCAGAAATGATGAATCTATACATATAAATAAAATTGGAGTGTCTGTTTGTAATATTGAAATAACCGTTTTTTACTACATGCATATGAATGTAAATACAGTACATACACCAAAATGTCATTTTTTTCAATTTTTGTAAATTCATATCATCCATCCATCCATACTTTTTTTTTTTTTTTCGGACTTCTCTAATGCTCTTGGCCGTAGCTCACCGGACGTTATGGGGCGAGTGCAGATAGCACTCCAAACCCGCGGAAGGACTTATGGAGCGGCTGAAGGCCAACTCCTGCCCGACGGATACGACTTTAGTCTGAGGGCACCACTAGGGGCTCGAACCTCGGCTCAGGCCGTCGTTATTTTGA